TCCAAATGTAGTACCTATATATGTAGTATCAAAGCAATTGGACATGCGGTTTTTAACAAGAAGTCAAAAATATCACTTTTTACCAAAAATGACAAAAATATTCACCAAAATTAGAGAATTAAAGATATCATTACAAAATGAACAAATCTGAGAGAGGTCCACATGTAGTACCTATATATGTAATATCAAAGCATTTGCACTTGCGGTTTTTAACAAGAAGTCGAAAATATCACTTTTTACCAAAAATGACAAAAATATTCACCAAAATTAGAGAATTGAAGATATCAACATGAAATGAACAAACCTAAGAGAGGTCTACCCAAGGTACATATACACCAAGTATCAAAGCATTCAGGCTTGTAGTTTTCAAGAAGAAGTCGAAAAAGTAAAACATTGACACGGACGAGGACGACGACGACGGACAATCACTCATATGATAAGCTCCGCTCGACAAAGTCGACAGCGGAGCTAAAAACAGAGGGGGCCTCACCTTCCAGCATTTCTAGTGTGACATCTTCAATAAATGGATCCCACCATTTTGTACGACTGCCTTTACATTGCCAGTCTAGAACATCACTCTTGGACAGTCTCCCTGCTAAGTACATGACAGCCACTGCCAAAACCTGGGGCTCCCACTGAAGGCACAGTGTGGTACAGAGACTGGAAAAAATATCATAGTATATTAGACACTGACCGTCTAATTATGGTTCCATTGGAGGATTCACAGCAGTATGTGATATAGGGCCTGATATATTCAGGTAAGAGATGTCCTATACTGTGAAACCATTTATTACCCGGTATTACTGTTTCGATGCTTTGAGTACCGGTAATTTAACTGGGCTTCAAGTTCACAGACTTTACATGTTTACATGAACTTAATTCAGCAGATTTTACGTATCAGTGGAATTAAAAACCAGGGAATAATAAATGCAGTATTTGTTGTTTTGCTAGAGCTGTACATGCATGAGTGGTGGACTTTCACTTTGTCAAAAGTAACAGTTCTTGCTTTACTAACATTTAACAGGGTTACAATAGTAAGTTGACAAATTCAGATGAAAACACTTCTGGATTTGTACCTGAATTGTGTAGATCTGGCAGGTGACTGAAGGCATCATGGAAGTATGATATACTGGTAATCAATGTAAACTATATTGAAACTACACAAAACTACTTGAAAAATTAAGATTTACAATACACTTGCTAGTCTGACGATGTACACAGTTCTAAACATGTTTCACACATCACGTTTGACTTGCCAAGGGATATAAGAAGATGACTATCATATACTCAATCTGCAGTATATTTCACCTATATTTCATTTTCTTTCTGAATATTTGCTAGTGACTGGAAATAGCAAAATATAGCTTGTCAGATTTTTGAAGTGAACTGCTGTCACACTATTTTTCACAATACTGTTCAAATGAAATGCGTGGAACTCTGTGAAAAGGTGAATTGATTGGTTTGGAAGATAATAAATATGGTTGTTTGTTTGTTTAATTATCAGTGATTCTACTTTTACCCTAACCTGTCATTGATAAAGGTCCATCCCATCTGTACTAATTGCTGTATCTTGGCTTTGTCTCCTTTAATAACCCTGGCATATTTCAGTAAATAAGTGTATGGATGATCAACCTGTAGGTCAAACTTTATTGTTTGCAGTAAAATCCTCTCAAACGTCATAATCTCCTCCTGTAAGTGAAAAATTAATTACCACGTGAGAATTGAGTTTGGAAATAAAATGTTATCCATGGAGCTGGTTTAGTATGTAATGTAACAATGGTGGTTATTCTCAGTTTCCCATGAACAGGTTGTAGGCATTGAAAGTTTATAAAATGTTCATAAAATCCGAGAAACCCATTTTTTATTTACATATTGCATCTTGGTAAACTTATGTACATTCCATGACAATTACACAACACAAACTTGCTAACTTTTAAAGGTCCATGATTTGAAACTACACGTACATGTACACATATAGGTTATCAGATAATTCCTATTGTCCCCTGTTTTGTTTTTTATAGAATTTTAAATCCAAAGAGTCATTCTATGCAATGGTTGCATCATTTTCAGAAACAATTCTATGATTACTATCACCAATTTTGTAAAAAACTATTTTAGGCAACTGAAAAATTGTGCTCAACAAAGAATAGCATTTTTCAACAATTAAATGTCACTGTCATAAAGGTGGAAACATAAAATGTTATAAGCACTCACAAGTACTGGACACTAAGGTTCAATCAATAATTGTCTAAAATGTCAAATTACAAACACCAAATATCTTAGTGACAACTGGTGACTTACAATATAATTATTACATCAAGTATTTCAGATTGTTTCTAATTGCAGTATAGTGCATATGTATTATACCAATACACATCCAATGATGATGAAAGTTCTGGGATTACACCATGACACTGTGCAGCATCGATAACTGTCGCTACTCACTACTACCACAGTAACGCAAGGAACAAGCAATCAATCAATCAATTAAATTTGGTTTTATGTACATGTATACACACCTTTGGGTCATCTCCAAAAGTTGTGAAATAGTGTTCTGGTAACAGTGTTTTAGCAGCTCTGACAATGTCTTTGCATTTCTTAGGAGTCTCTTCAACTTTACCAGCTAAGAACAAGCATGCAGCACCAGTAACCTGAATAGAAAAAACAAACAAAATTTTTATACGTCTAGCACCAAAAGCTGCACCTGTATTCATTCCAAAAACAGATGCACTCATTCCATAGTTTGAATTTATACATTGGGTAAACTGTACATATAAAGCAAGTCATTGAAAATGACACAGTCCCCATTAAGTTCTCTTTGTGCTCGTCATATTAAAGTGAAGGGGTTGTCGCGAGTGTGTCCTTGAAACTCGAGTTCCAAGTGGCGTATACAACAGATTGTTTATTTACATCAAAACATGTGTTCCGTGTAGTAGTAATATGGCCAAAATAAAAACTGCCGTTATTCGGCCATCTTTGAGCTGATTATGAAACACACTGATATGTATGATGTATGTGCCAAATACGAATGAAAATGGTACATAAATTGTTGAAATATAGTAGTAATGACCAGATTTTGAAACAAATTGTCATGGACAAGCATCCTAACATGTATAAAGTACATGTATGTGCCAAATTTGAAAGAAAACTGACAGAGCACGTCCAAGATACCACATAACAAGTCATTGAAAATGACACAGTCCCCGTTAAGTTCTCTTTGTGCTCGTCATATTAAAGCGGAGGGGTTGTCGCGAGCGTGTCCTTGAAACTTGAGTTCCAAGTGGCGTATACAACAGATTATTTATTTACATCAAAACACGCGTTTCGTGTCATAGTAATATGGCCAAAATAAAACAGCCGTTATTCAGCCATCTTTGATCTGATTATGAAACACACTGATATGTATGATGTATGTGCCAAATACGAATGAAAATGGTACATAAATTGTGGAAATATAGTAGTAAGGCCAAAAAGTCAGATGGCTGTCAATCGGCCATCCTTGACCAGATTTTGAAACAAATTGTCATGGACATGCATCCTAACATGTATAAAGTACATGTATGTGCCAAATTTGAATGAAAACTGACAGAGCACGTCCAAGATACCGCATAAAAAAACAAAAACAAGATGCCTGCCAGTCGACCATCTTTGATCCAATTGCGAAATAAATTGTCATGGACATGTATTTTAACATGTATAGTCTATGTACCAAGTTTGAATGAAACTGACAAAGCATGTCCAAAATACAACATTTTCAAAAAACAAGATAGCTGCCAGTCGGCCATTTTGAATCACTAAACCACTGCATGTGCATATGTCCCACATAAAGTACTAGGCACATGCAAAGAATGAACGAAATCGGTCCAAGGGAGACTGAGATACGACTCCGGACGGACACATGGACGCACGGAGACTGAATTATAAGTCCCCGTTTTCGGACTTTGTCCGAACGGGGACTAATAAACATTGAACACATTTCAGGTTATTGACGCCATGTACAAACTATTTCTCTGTTTACAATGGAGGCAAGAAAGTGCTGCAGTGCAATGGAGATAGAATACTGCCACTGAATAGAAACATACGTACGATCCAAAACATTTTTTTTTTCAGATTATTACTACAAATGGAGAAAAGATGGATAATAATAAGGTTATCACAAGAATGCCCAAAAGTATGTGCAATACTCAGGAAGTCTCAGACAGCATCAACTTCTGCTACATGTACACATTGGTTGATAAATGTATTATTACTATACTGCCTTCATGCATACTAGTACTTGGCGATATTCTCAAGATAACATCATAGTACTACAATAATGTAAACCATGTTATGAATGTAATTTGACTTTTTATCTACAAATTTGAATATTTTTAAATGTGCACAAAGTGGTGTTTCAACCTCTCTCGGATAAACTATACAATCATTTCATGATTCCTTGCAGTGTGAAAATCAGGATAACTATACTTACATATCTTGGGAATGTCTTGAAGGAATGAAACATGTAAAACCTATGAAAATAAACTACCCCTGTCGCAAGGGTGTCATATCGTCTGTAGACTTGGGTTAAGGGAAGTATGGTATCCCATATGAATGAATGATTGAATGAATTATTTCAATTTGGAATTCAGATGCTATTATTAACTTCACAGCAATGTATAAAGGCTCAGTTTTCACACAATGTACAATGAACGCCCAACAGCTGGTTTTACGCTGTGACTCACTCAACTGCAACAGAATGATTTCAAAGAAAGGATACAGTCCTAGACTTGTTCCAGCATCAATAATAAAACGAGCACCTTCTTTTCTGTATCTTGCTTCGACCGAGAAGTCCAAGCCATCTTGAATTGTTGGTGTTTTATGAAGTTCGCTCTTCTCGTAATACCAAATGGGCATTATACTGAACTGTCTTTCACTGTTCTGTCATCAATATGCAATTACAAAGGGTAGTTCTGAATCTGGAAAACAAACAAAATGAATTCAATACTTACTCCTATGAAAATTTACCCTGTAAAGCAAGATGGTAAAGTTACCCAGACTGAAGACGTACAATAATCAAAGATAGAACAGAACATTGCAAGTCTGAAGAAGAAATTTGTTTTTCTTTAGTGTGGAATGTTATTCCAAACTACCTGTTTAACAGTTGTGAGTTATTGTTTGATTTCTAGTCACCTCGACCCCTATCCCGTTCGACCCTGGACACCTCGACCCCAAGTTAGACACCTCGACCCCTTGCCCCCTAGTCACTTCAACCCCCGGAGTTACACACTGTGGGTCACTTCGACCCAAGAACACTGTACGACAATATCATACTTTCACTGAGTGTGTCGGCCACCGATTTCATTTCACTT